ACTCAGGTATTCTGACTTGAAACCCCATGCAAAGCATCACATTCCAGTTACTTCTAGCCAAGAAAAAAACCTCCTGCCCCTTCACAGACACAAGCAGCTAAAGTTTATTCTTCATCAGTTTTCCTCAACCTGCAGTCTTTGTCCAGTGGAGTAGAGATGGGCAAAAAGGAGTTAGATGTCTTTGATTTTCCAGATAGACATCATGAGACAGAGACTGAATTTAGGTCAAATCTAAAGCCTGCTACAAAGATAAAAGACTCTCAGCAGTCACTGTGAAGACTTCAACTTTCATTTACTGCATCCTCCAGAATAGCACATCAGTCCTACTGGAGGAATATTTTAAAGTTTTCTAAAAGGGATCCCGGATTAATCTCTACATGACAAGTCATTTTCTCTAAGCTCCACTGTCACCTATAAAAAGCTGAAATCCTCTTCATATTTCAGGAGAGAGTCAACAAACTCTTAACAGAAGCTTGCATCAGGCTAAGAAAGGGCTGTCAGGGTGACTGAAATTCCTCACTCCACAATTTTGCCAGTAGGTCCCAGGCAGAGTGTTTATTTTGTGTCTGTGATACAGACTGAGGGGGGGTGGGGAGTAACAAAACATGAAATTTTAAGTTCACCCTAATTACAACAATATCAAAGAAAGTGTGTAAGTTCACACAAATGTAAACAGGAATAATTATAAAGTCAAGGTTAATGAGGTGGGCTCTTAGTGTAACAATTAAATATTATAATAGGCGTTTTGGCTCCTTTTTATTTTTGGCTTTGTTTCCCTCCGAAAGCATGTTTTGAATGCACCCATGCTGGTCATAGTTTAAATAGACAAAAACCCTTCATGAGAATTAAGATGTTTCTGGAAAAGGAAGGGAAGGAGGCTCTGAGGGCCAGGATGTGGGGAAAGATTGGAAGAGAGATAATGTAGATCCAATGAACCAGAACAAGGGGCCCTGCCCCGTAAAACAAACTGAAAACAGAGTGTGGTTAGGTGCTAGTGAAATCAATTTTCAAAGGAGTATTTTTACAGGGTGTCTTTTTTAAAACAAGGCCAATTAAAACCCCAGGAGCCTCTTTAAATGGGCCACCCTGCTTGACCCTGTTGTGAGCTCCGGTTATTCCAGATACAGCTGAGTCCCTCTGAGAACATCAAGTGTCAAGTTTGGCTGCCCCATGGCTGGCCAGCTCTGCTCTGCTTAGGATTAGCCCTAGAGTCTTCCTCTACAAGAAGCAAGTCCACATTCATTCACTCTACCCAATAATTCATGGGTAATCAAGCAAGTAAGCTGATCAGTACCACACATACAGAGTAGACAACTTGGGCGCCTGAATATTCACTTCCCCTACACACCAACTACTTTGGTGTTTGAGAGATGGCATTAGAGTGTCTACTCATATTAGCCAACTGCTCCCTGCAGTCACAAAGCAGTTGGTTGTTACCCCTTTCTACATTCCCCCCAACTCTGAACAGGAGTCAAAGCGTAACGAAGGGCTGTTGTCAAAAGTGTGGATTCTTACACCCCTAATAGACTCCAGGTCCCATCTTAACTGCTCCACCAGATGTATCCCTTGGCCAAAATTCCAGAGACCTCAAGGAAGCCATTTACAGACTCCTACTGATGTTCTTCTCTGTCTCATTCTTACAAAGGCTTCTTCCACCTTATTCTCAGCCTTCCCAGACTCAAGCTAATCTGCTGACCTCTAGGCACGAGTGCCCCCCAAGCCCCTTGCCATCATCAGAATCTGAGCATTAAAACGGATCTTAAAGACAACCAGGTTCAAACTCCTTTGTCCAGATGACAACACAAAAGTGTGTTGGGGCATGTTGCTCTGGACACACAGCTTCAGCAGGGCTAGAAAGCCAGGTTGCCCGAGTACCAGTGCTGCGTATTACCCTACACACTTCCTTCCCCACACACAAAAGCATGAATCAAATCCTTGAGGGGAGATGCCTAAAGAAAAATCTTTTTAACCTCATCTGAGGTCCAATAGAGCTTTTATCAAATAACTCTGAGGGATCCATGGAAATTCGTACTCTTGCACACTTGGCTTCCTGACATTCATGCCATTCAGCCCCAACATAGGACCTGTGGGGAACCATTCTCGCCACAGCTCTGTTTCCCACCATGCTAATATCGGCGCTTTAAACACAGCCCATTCATAATAAACACGATAGCCACATATTTCTAACAAGAGCATAATTGCTGCTCCTTGGAACAAATCACATTATTTTGAATCCTATCATTAGGAATCAGATTAAAAAACATCAAAGTACATTTTCTTCCCTGTCTCCTCAGATATTCAGCAACAGATTTAAGAAAACCCTGTCAAGATATGGCTGCCTTCCTGCTTTTGTCCTCAGATGACAATCCCCATCGCAGACTCCGCTTACCCAAACTGCAAGCCCGGCGCTCTGTCAGCTACCCTGTGACAGCGCCAGGGTGAGTTGTGTGGTCTCTCAACACCAAGCCTGCGGTGGAGTCGATGCCTTCCTACCAGGGCCCCACCCACAACAGAAATGATTGTCACTTCATTCTACCAGAGCGCGATCTTAACAAGAGAAATGGGCTGCAACGGCAACAAATAAATGCCACTGAAAATCAGGTTCCAACTTTAGATATGCTTCCTTGAAACTGGCATTGGTTCTCAAGTATGTTAGCAGATCCGACCGTTCCTGGTCTCCACACCACCCCATCTCCCAGAGGTCTCTGAAAATCACAACTGTTGGAAAGGACTTAGCGCTAACTCCATCGGGAGGAAAGGCAAAAGATGGAATAACTTTTCCACGATTTGTCCAAACCTCTGTTTGGACCTTAAACAGGTTTCTAACATGCAGATTGTAGAAAAGCAAGATGCTCTAAGGCACACAATCCATACCAAAACTCCCTAATTTGGAAAAGGGGGAGGGCGTGAAGAGGAAATAAAACATCACAAGCTAAATTGTACTTCCTAGCGATGAACTTTGGCCAAGCACACTCACATTCTGACTGAGACCTGATATGGGTTCCTTCCAGGTTCCAGTTAGCTGATTGAATGCAATTAAGTGAATACTTTAACCTCTCAGTTTCCATTTTGTCTCAGTGTGTCAAGACATCAAAAAAATATTGAAAGAAGACTTAGGGAAAGTGGGGAAATTCAGGGTGGTAGAAACTGGAATGATGTATGATTGTAGGGCTTCTCAGAGGTCTGAAAGGACCAAGACATTTCCATCACGGGGATCTCATAATCCAATCACAAATGGAAAAAATATGCTAAAAGGGATTGTTTGAAATTGAAAAACAAAACAGATGCTTTCTAACACAGAAGAACAAATATAATTGAATCAGAGGTCTTTTGTACCTGTGAGATCTGGAATAAGTTCATCACCTTTATCCACAATCTCCTTAAAAGGGCTGACTGACGCTACCATCTTGAAGAGTAATGCTAACGAACTTAGAGCAAAACAACTCCCTCCAAGTTACTTTATCTTAAAAGTGCCTCTGTCAAATAATTTGGACAAGAGGATTATCTCTGTTATATTTAGTATTTTTTCAAATGTTGATTGTAGACTCCCAAAGGACCCTCATTTTATGCCCATTTTGTTCTAATTTATCCACATGAGCCATTAGTGATTGGGGTGGAAATGATGCGATACTACATGACTTCAGATTCTAAAATGAAATGAATGAGTAATTTTATAAATCCAGAGTCCTATGTCTCAAAAAGAGGGTAAGTTGCGCTTCCGCAGACTCAAAATACAGCTATGAAAATCACTCATAAACTATCGTAAAAGCCTTTTCTGATAGCATTTGTTGCTCATCCAGGACATTCCTCCTAACACATGACTTGATCTCTCGCATTGGAAACCGACTTCCCTTGACATCAGTAGAATAAGCATATGGACACTCAAGATCCCCAGATACCCCTTAACACCTTGAAAGGCTCTCCAGCACAGCCTCACACCCGCACCTGCACAACCGACTCCTGAACTAGACCTTTCAGCAGCGGGTTCCCGGAATCCACACTCCCTCACTTTCTCCCTGTTACTGAGGTCAGTGCAGACAACCAGCAGAGACACCTGTGAACTGAGAAGCATTCGAAACATAATGCTTCCTCTTAAAAAGACACAGGCTCCCACAGTACTGGGAGTAGCTAAATCTTGGCAAAAATGTCACTTTCCAGCTCGTTGTTGTTTACCAACAAGATGATTCATTCCCCCCTGTCCCCCGTTCTGTCCATACTGGGGCTAACACTTCTCCACTGTGTCCAAACAGATTCAAAAGAACCCCTGTCTTTTACGGCATGTGTGCGGGTGACTCACGTCTGCCTGTCTGGTCATAGTATCTCATTATGAATCAAACAAAGGGTTAGTTTGTCCCCTTACGATATGGTGGAAATCTTTGCCAAATTGTCTTTTGTTCTCTTTTTTTTCTGACAGAGCCATTTTTAGGTGTGCGGTTCTCCCCAATGCCCTTGTCTACCCGAGCTGCCTGGCCACTTTTTCCAGCGCGGGTTCATATGCCCTTGCCTGTTACCAGCCATTTTCCAACTCTGGGACATACTAAAGATGAATCTGTCTTTCCTTACAACTAATGACTCAGAAAACCTACTAACAGAAGACGTCTCTAGAAAGTGAGAACATGTGTCCTGAGCCCCAACAGGTATTTAGCCAACCAGTTCTTCCCTGAGCTATAGCAGGCTCGAGCTGCCTATTTGTTTCACAACAATTTAGCCCAGGAGAAAGGCTCTGTCTCAGGAACAGGGAGAAACGAGGGAGCTTTATATCCATAATGATTGACAGTCCAGTCTCAAGGCAGAAAATTCACAGGTGACATCCAAAGTAGCCCAGCTACCCTCCAAAATCAAAAAAGACCAAGTGAGGTGAAGACAGGTGAGACAAATCCACTTCCTGGCAGCCACCTCCGAGAGCCTGTTTTATTTTCATCTGATTCCAGGCAGGTTTCTCTTTCCACTCAGGTGTTGGAATTCCAGATTCAAAAGAAGGTTTAAAAATAAGGACTTACCTCATTTACCTAAAGATTCTGGGTGGGAAATCCAATAGCTGTGGCTAATGGAGGGGAGACAGCAGGCAGCCCTCACGCCAGCTCCTACAGGGATGGGGAAACAGGGGTGTTATCACGTCTGAGCCCTCATCAGAGTGAAGATAAATGCATATGACAATAATTTTAAATCATTTTGTATGATGTTAAGCAATAAGCCACCAACCGGGAATTCCCTAAGTCACTTCCCCCTCTTCTGATTGGCTGCTGAGCCCTTTAAAAAAATAAAATAAGGGATTACAAACATTGGCTCATTTGCATTTGGCCAACTCACACTGTTAGTGTTCAAACAAAACAGGTCTAACCAGGTTATGCCTGTGTCTCAAGAACAGAGAGACAACCTGTTAATGGATGAGGAATTGATTTGGTAGTGACTGTTGTTTTGAGCTTAGAGGCTGATGTTAGGGTGTGTGGGGGGAGGACCAGTCTCGCTCCCCTAAAAGGCCACCAGGAAAGGAGAATGTTAAAAGTAAAGTGAGCAGAAGGTCAGCTCCGAGGACACGGTGGTAGAGGGAAGTAAGGTCCTCTTGAACCTCTGTCTCATAAACCACCCTGTATTTCATGCCCTCTGCTCTGGCATCAAGCTCTGCGCCCTCGCGCAGGGAGCACTGGCTCTCACAGGGCTCTCCAGCCCGGTAGCCTGGAGGACAGGTTCTTTCTCCAAGCACCTCCATTGCCTTTTTAACAGAGACCCTGGGCAATTTCAGTGGACTTTGAAAAACCAATCTTCCCTGGCCCCAGGTAAGAACCCTGGGAGAAAGTTTGACGGGAGGGACCACGGCTCATTCTGAATTGTTCAGCTTGGTCTACTCTCGACCATGCAAGGGCTCACTACCTGATTGGTGGACTCTTCTGGGGTTCTCTACTTCCTCTTGGCTGGTCTTTTTTTTTACTATTTATCAACACTTCTTACAGGAGTTAGAGAGGGAAAGATGAAGATGCTGAAGCTGGAGGTAAAACAACATATTTTGGGCAAGTTGGTGGAATTCTGGCAAGGATCTACGGTTTCTTTCTTTTCTTCCTCCCTGTCTCTGTCTCTTTCTCTCTCTCTCTCCCTTTTCTTCCTTCCATCCTTCCTCTCTCCCTTCTTTCTTTCCTTCTCTCTTTTTTCTCTCTTCCTTCCTTTCATTTTTGTAGAGGCTGCTGTTGGTTTTGAATCTATGGGTTTTAAATGCCCGTGCAATTCCCGTCCCCCTGAGCCAAGGGTCTGCCATAACAGGTCACAAAATTACTTCTGCCTTGCGTGCAGGTGAGTGACTGCTTCTGGCAAGGAAAAATAACCTCCCCTAACCATTAACTTTCTCTCTGGGTCTTCCTGGACTCAGCCTGGCACAAGCTAAGAATCCAAACAGATTTTATTTTTAACTTACGAGGTCTCCCCTCTGTGGGAGAGGAAAGGGAAGTTGAATTTTGGCAAAAGACAAAGATTCTGTGATCAAAACCAAGAAGTTCCCAGTGTAGAAAAGAAACAGGCTGAGTAGGACAAGGAGGAGGCATTTTTGTTAAGGGAGCGTGTGAGCAGCAGTGATATTCCCTTCTTGTTTGTTCCCCTCACCTTCACCCCCCCCCCAAATCTGCTACAATATAATGCAGAGGTTTCTAAAGGTATGAAGGATGGGGTGGGAGAGCAGGGTGGGATTTGGACCATCTTGGGACTCAGGCAGGTCTTCAAGAAGGTTTAGACCATTCAGGGAGCGCAATTTAGAGAGATTCTTAAAGAGCCCCTCTGCCTCCCCCTAGTTTTCACTAATCCAAATCTCCAACCTCATATATTTCCCAAGGGCCCTGTTAAAATGTAAATGTCTGATAAAAACAGTAGATGTCATTATTGCCCATTATCACATTAGCCCCAATTAGTCTATCGGCTGCAGATCTGAGAGCAGGGCCCTCAGGGAAGAGCCTGGTGAAGTTTTGCTTGAGAGATGAATCAGGTACAATTTGAAGCAGCATCTCCACCCACTACACTGCATGTGTGTGTGTGTGTATGTGTGTGTGTGTGTATTTTAGGGCCAAGAAGCAAAGCTGGTGCTCTTTACATTTCATGCCTGAGAATAACCTAAGACAGTGGGGAGGGGTGTAGGAGGAGGTAGTTGTGTGATCAAGACGTAGGAAACATCACAAAAGCTCCAGAAATGAGGTGCCCCTCTATCCAGTCACAACCACCTTTTCAATAGAGGTCTTCATTCCTAAATGAAGAATTCTGGCTACATCTCCATTGCTTTATCCGCTCTAATCCTGCTCAATTTAGATCAGAGGCCTGCTCTATGAAGGCACTCTTGAGAAGGGTCATTTGGGGGGGTTGGGGTGGTGAAAGGGGATGGAAAGACACTTCATACTCACAGCCACTTCATTTGTGGAGTTTTTACGTGCACAGAGTGCCTAACAATGTAGTAAGGACTTATTAAGTATTGGTTCTCTGCTTTACTTGTGATTTAGTTGAAACTGGGGAAAAAAAGAAGGAAAAGTACATCCCCACCCAGGAAAAGATTAGCCTTCTAGGCATATCAGATCCATAGAGAAATTCCTGTGGTGTTTGAAGTCTTTTATCCTATGGTCTACTTCAGTAAGTCAGCACTTGCTTCAAGCTAGAAATATGAATGGACAGAGATGATAGATAGATAGATAGATAGATAGATAGATAGATAGATAGATAGATAGATAGATAGATAGATAGACAGATAGACAGACAGACAAAGCAATATAGAGAGATGGAATGGGTGGGAGTCTTGATTTTTCACTGAGAATACTGAACGTTGGATTGATGCGGTTCTTTCTACTGCAAGAGTGTCACATGTATCAAGCTTACCTCTCACGTCTCATGGACAAGAAGTCAAAGGTATAACCACAAAAACATCAAACATACCATAGCCTTCAAATACACTGTTAGTTTCCTAAAAATCATAACCTTTTCAAGGAGGAATCACTCTCATTATCATGTCTGACCTCCACGCCAGAGTAGATTTTATTTATCCTTTGCTTCCCAGAGTTCTCTGGGAACCCGATAAAGACATAGGGAAGTGAATAGAGAAGACAAAATGATTGCATCGTTGTTTTTTGTTTTCGTTTTCTTCTGTGTGTGTTTTGTTTTGTTGGGGTTTTTTTTTGTGGATTTGAAACTTATGAGATAGAAACAAAGCAGCTTGCTCCAGCTCAAGATCCAGATAATACTGGGAACTGGAACCACATCTACAAATCTAGTTATTCTGCATAGAAATCTTCCAGGTCTCACCTACAGGTCAAAGCCCTCCCTTTGGCTCAGACCTGCACAGGGAGCATTTGAGTAGAGTCCATCCACACAAGAAGAGGGGGTAGAGAAACCAGAGCAGGTCGTGTGCACGGATTTGGGGATACAAGTTCAGTTATATTGTCTTCCAGAAGATTCACATTACAGAACTAAGAAAACCCAGGGACCTTAATTCCCAAATCAAGGCCAAAACAAAGAATCTCTCTAAGCCAAGTATCAAGCCCTAAGGTGTCTGAGTCTTAAAGCCAACACAGGCTGTGGTTACATGGTTAATGAGAGTTGTGTGCTTGCTTTGCAAGAAGGAGGATGCTTGCTTACTTTAAACAGTACCTTTTAACTAGAGGCCCTGTATTTATTTTTGAAAGCAAGTGTGTGTTTATATATGTTTCTGTCTATCATCCCCTCCTGATGACATGGAGTTCCTCCAGGGCAGATTGTGACAACTATTTAGTGAGGCCCACATGGAATATTCCTGAAGGGCTGACAGGAGTGAGAACCCTGTCGGTGTTAAGGGAGGGAGGTGGTAAGAGCTGCATTTCCAAAATCTCTAGAATTGGGATTAGCTCTGGGGATGAGTCTCTACAATGTCTGAAGAGAAACTTCATGAGCTCTAAGGTGGCACCTGAGCTCTGATTGGAAGATTGGGCATTGAGCCCTATCCTAACACATTTGTGTGGCATCGTGTCTTTGCCAACACATCTGTGCCTAAAAGCAGAGAAAATCACCCACCAATGTCATATACCAGCAAGCTATGGAGTTAGGGGACAACCTTGGTGCTGGAGTTGGGTGGAGTGGTTCGTTGCCTATACCCACCCAGGTGTACACACACACACACACACCCAGGAATCTGAATATGTCACCAATCTTACCTATGCATCAAACACAAATTTTCTGAAATTCTTCAAATTTTAATTATTCTCAACTCTTCCATGCTTGCCTAGCGTAACTCACACTTGCCCTTTTCCTGCTGCCTCGTCATTATTCCATTATGAGCAGGCAAAAGTTGACCACTTCCAGGTGACCTTCTGACCACCAGGACTTCCTTCACTTTGTGTAGGAAAGAGTTTCTTAGATTGATAGCAGTCGTTTTGTACATTGTTTTAGCACAAGAACTCCTTTCCCACCAACATGGAACCCAAGTATAGGAGATGGAGAAGATGACTCTGCCTGTGTGTTGGAGGGGTAGCAACTGAACTCCCTACTTGATTGCCCTGCCCCATGCCCATAGGAGTTCAGTCTTCGCTGCGACATCATTCTCCCACTTCTGTGTCCTTGCTCTGAGCCAATGGACCATCGGAATCACCTTTACAAGTTCAGATTCCTGAGTTCCTCCTCATTCCTGCCAAATTGGCACCTCCAGGATGACATGACAGAGACAATAATCAATTTTGTGTTCATCACCATCCATTAATATTTTGTGGACTCTCATATTGTTCCACTAATGATAAGCCAGAAGACTTGGTTCTTACTAACTGAGATGTTCTTACTAACTGGAGATGACCTTGGGTGAAGTTCTCAGTGCCTGGTCTTTTTTCCCCAAGGGACCATGAGACATAACAAACTCTTAGGCCTGATGAAAAATGTGTCAAATCACCATCTAGATGCCTCACTGTTCTGGAGAATCTGTGGCATTGGAAGATCAAGGATGCTCAGAACCTAACTGCTCACCTTAATGAAACAGGATGGCTCAGGTTTCTGAGAAGTAGCATGGTGTGCTAGAAAGGAAGGACATCGTTTTTGGACCCAGACTGACCAGGGTCATCACTTTGTCACATTTATTTAAACTTTGGGTCTCAGTTTTCCCATCTGGTTACTGGGCATATAAACGTGCTCGGTG